TATTCTATTCCTAGATTCTATTCTTACTAGATTCTATTCTATTCCTATATTCTATTCTTACTACATTCTGTTCTATTCTATTCCTATATTCTATTCCTATATTCTATTCTTATTAGATTCTATTCTATTCCTAGATTCTATTCTATTCTATTCCATATTCTGTTCTATATAGAATATAGAATAGAATTCTTTATTGGCCAAGTGTGATTGGACACACAAGGAATTTGTCTTGGTGCAAATGCTTTCAGTGTACATAAAAGAAAAGAGACATTCGTCCAAAGTCAAGAATCATCAGGTACAACACTTAATGATAGTCATAGGATACAATAAGTAATCAAATCATACTAGGAAAATAACAGAATAAAAGAGCTGGAAGGGACCTTGGAGGTCTTCTAGACCAACCCCCTGCTCAGGCAGGAAACCTTATATCATTTCAGACAAATGGTGGTTTAATCTCTCTATTTATTGCCTCTGTGGGAAGCCGTGGTGACAAGCCCTCAAAATCAGCAAAAGAAAGTCACATCAGGACTTTCACACAAACACAGACAAAAACACACAAGCACACACACACATAAATATCTATCTACCTACTTTTCTTTTGTGTGTGTGTGTGTGAAAAGAGCCTCCAATTTGATTATGATTGATAGATCCTTCCTTGAGCTGCAAAAATAGGGATGACTGTGAGGGCGCAGTCAAGAGTTAAACTTTGTGGGGTTCTGTTTGTCCACATCTAGAATTTGGCCACCTTACCAGACCCAAGGATGGCTTAACAGGGACCAGAGCTTCACATGGTGAGAGGAAGCCCCAAATTCTCCCTTTCTTGATGGTTAGTTTGCTGACCCAAAAGGTTTATAATTCTCCTAGGCCAGGCCTGAATATAACATAGGGTGACACTGATGGATTCAACCATTGCTGTTTGCAAACTGTGATTTGTGACCCTAGGGTGACACCGTACCTCCAGAAAAATAGGAGTTTAAATGCTAAACTTTGGTTGAACCACATCTGGCTTTTGTGGGTTCCATGAAGGATAAGTCATTAAAATCACGGATAGCCGAGAAAACAAGCAAGTGGATCTTCTAAACCAGATCTTACTGAAAGAGCAAATTCAAATTGTCATATTATGGACAGATTATCAGGAGGAGGAGGAGGAGGAGGAGGACTGTGGGGTCCTTGGTGCTCTCTTGGTCTTTTCTTGCAGACATTTCATTACCCAACTAGGGAACATCATCAGCACTAGAAGACAGTAGGGATTAGGAGGAGGAGGAGGAGGAGACAACCAGCCATGTGGGTGGTCTCAGTTATCATGGTGATAGGCACATTCTTAGAAGATTTGAAGTTCTAGGTTGAGCACAAGTTTTCCTCGAGAAATCGATCTATGTGGCTGCCAAGAGCTGACGCTGATTTGATAATAAAAGAAAATAAGAATTTAGTTGCAATTGTTTTCTCCATGCTGAAAAGCTGAAAGCATAAATTGGAGGGTGCATATTTTATTTCTCCAAGCCTGTTACTTAGTGTTACTTTGAATGTTAATGTTTTACCTTTTAATAAATTACCTTTTTATGGTTACATTTTATGGCTACAGCTATTTCCCACTACAGTTTATCTATCGCTTAATGATGTCTGATCTGATACAATGTTTTAATGCGTGCCTTTTCCCGTCACTTTAACTTATCCTTGTGTGTTGCCCCTCTTTGAATGTTATTTGAAACGGCTTAGAGACGTCGTTTGGAAAGGAGGCCATGTAGACATGTTCGGAATAAATAAAGCAATGCATGGACACTTTGTAAAAGTTGAAAGTGAAAAATAAAATGACACGGCTGAACTAAAAGCAGCAAATATCGTTTTACTGTAGAAGTCTTTGCCATCAAATTAAGCACATCAGTGTCTTGCTTGCAACATTGCATAGTCCTTATGCCCTGTTATGTAGTGTGTTATCCCAGAATAGCAGAGTTGGAAGGGGCCTTGGAGGTCTTCTAGTCCAACCCCCTGCTTAGGCAGGAAACCCTACACCACTTCAGACAAATGGTTATCCAACATCTTTTTAAAAACTTCCAGTGCTGGAGCATTCACAACTTCTGGAGGCAAGTTGTTCACAATGATTAATTGTTGTGATTGTCAGGAAATTTCTCCTTAGTTCTAAGTTGCTTCTCTCCTTGGTTAGTTTCCACCCACTGCTTCTTGTCCTGCCTTTGGGTGCTTTGGAGAATAGCTTGACTCCCTCTTCTTTATGGCAGCCCCTCAAGACAGCTATCATGTCCCCCAGTCCTTCTTTTCATTAAAACTAGACATACCCAATTCCAGCAACCTCTTCTCTGCACTCTTTCCAGAGTCTCAACATCTTTTTCGTATTGTGGTGATCAAAACTGGACACAGTGATCCAAGTGTGGTCTTAACCAAGTCAGGTAAATACACTGCAGTAGACCCTACACCATTTCTGACAGATGGCAGTCCAGTCTCTTCTTGAAAGCTTCCAGGGATGAAGTTCCCACAACTTCTGAAGGCAATTCCAATGTTCCATCGGTCGATTGTCTGAAAAATTCCTCCTTATTTCCAGGTTGAATCTCATCACTGGAGGCTTTCAAGAAGAGATCGAACTGCCATTTGCCAGAAGTGGTGTAAGCTTTTCCCGCTTGGGCAGGGGGTTGGACTAGATGACCTACAAGGTCCCTTCCATCTCTGTTAATCTGAAGGGGGGGGAAAAAGCTTTCTAGAACTTTGCAAACTGTCAGTTCCCTTATTTTCTTTCCCGTGCTTTTGTTTCTGGCGTTGTTGCTTTGACAATCCATTGGAGGGCAGCGTAGCTCCACTGAAACCATCTTCAAGCCCTTACAAAATGGTTTCCTTTCTTCCCGGCGGAAAAGGAGAGAATTTACTTCCAGATGTTTCGGGGTTAGGTTTTTATTTAATATATATTCATTTACCGTATCTGTACCAAAGTCCTTTCACCCTTTGGAGGGGTGGGATGAGTGTTATTATCCACATCTGCCTACTGAATAATCCTTTAGCCCAACTGCTAAAGGCTGAAGACAAACGATCCGATTGATTAATTGTTCTCACTGTCAGGAAATTTCTAGGTTGCTTCTCTCCTTGATGAGTTTCCATCCATGGCTTCTTGTCCTGCCCTCAGGTGCTTTAGAGAATAGCTTGACTCCCTCTTCTTTGGGGCAGCCCCTGAGATGCATTCTACTCACCTGCCACACCCGCATTTTCTGCAACGCTTTGCTGCTCCGCCTCCTCCTCCGAGGTGTGAGATGTCCTCTTTTGTTCTGCTTCTCTTTGGATTCTCAGCCTTGGCCACCAAGGTTAATCACAAACCTTCTCTTGGTCTCTACCCATCATTCTGCGCCGCCAGATTGTTTTTTTTAAATACATGGAAGGTGGTTTAGTTAAACTTATCCGGGATCTGTACTTTTTCTAGAGTCTCAAAATCCTTTTTATAATGTGGTGACCAAAACTGGATGCAGTACTCTAGGTGTGATCTTACTAAGGCTTTGTAAAGTGATATTAGTACCTCCCTTGATCTCGATTGTCTCCCTCTGTTACTGCAACTTAGAATTGCATTAGCTTTTTTGATGGTGGCTGCACACTGCTGGCTCATATTTAGCTGGTTGTCCACTAAGACTCCAAGATCCCTCTCACAGTTCCTACTATTGAGCCTGGTTTCACCCAGTCTATATGTATCCTTTTGGTTTTTCTTGCCTAAGTGTAGGACTTTACTTTTCTCTACATTGAATTTCATTTTGTTAGATATGGCCCAGTGTTCTAGTCTGTCAAGATCCATCTGGATCTTGAGCCTATTTTCTTGGATGTTAGCTATTCCTGCCAGCTTAATATCATCTGTAAATTTGGTAAGTTTCCCTTCTATTCCTTCATCTAAGTTGTTAATGAAGATATAGAAGAGTACTGGGCCTAAGACAGAACCTTGTGGCACCCCACTGCTTACTAAATAAAAGAGAGGTCTACATTTGTGGTTCCAGATAGGCCCAACTGTCCAGAACATGCAAAACCAAAAGGCAGTGAAAGATGCACCTTAGAAAAGATGATATGAAACAGAGTAAAGGTTGCGTGTTTGGGACCTAGGAAGGATCTTGCAGTTTATCTGGGTCAACTTCCTGCCCAGAACAAGAGAACAATTTCTGCAGCATCCATATGTCAAACTGCAAAGGAATATTTTATCTATAGAATAACAGAGTTGGAGGTCTTTCAGTCCATCTTATTAAGTGGTACGTTTATTTAAGGCATCAAACTTCCATGCAGCCAGAAATGACTCTTTCTTTCTTCTATTCTCTCTCCTTCCCAACCAGAAACTACCGAACTTGGAAACAAGAAAGAGCTCAAATCCATGCCTTTCATCACTTACCTCTCTGGCTTGCTGACGGCCCAGATGCTGTCCGATGATCAGATGGTTTCTGGCGTGGAGATCCACTGTGAAGAGAAGGGCCGCTGCCCTTCAACTTGCCATCTCTGCCACTGGGCGGGCAAGGAGCAACTGAGTCCCACCCCGGTCCTTCTGGAGATCAACCACATCATCCCGTTATATATGCTCATCCAGGACAACGAGACCCGGGAGGTGAGACGGGGGTGAACAGAAGCTGAGCAGACAACCGTAATAGACCATGGATGGGTGGATGATAAATATGTGTACGGAAGGAGGGAGAGAAGGATGCACAAGAGAGAGTGAGAGAGAGAGAGTTGGATAGATAGATGACTGGTAGATAAGATAGATGATAGAGGTAGATGGAAGGAAGGAGGGAAGGAGGGATGCATGAGAGAGAGGTGGATGGATGGATGATAGAGATAAAGATGAGTTGGATAGATAGGCGATTGGTAGATAAGAGAAGATAGAGTTAGTTAGATGGAAGGAAGGAAGGAAAGAAGGAGGGAGGGGGAAGGAGGGAGGCAAAAGAGAGAGAAGAGAGAGTTAGATGGATTGATTATAGAGATAGATCGATAGGTAGGTAGATAGATAGGTGGGTGGGTGGATGGGTGGATGGATGTGGAAGGATGGAGGGAGGGATGCACAAGAGAGGTGGATAGATAGATCACAGGTAGATAAGATAGATGATAGGGGTAGACGGGAGGAAGGGGGGGAAGGATGCATGAGAGAGAGGTGGATGGATGGATGATAGACCTAGAGATGAGTTGGATAAATAGATTATAGGTAGATAAGAGAGGATAGAGTTAGATAGAAGGAGGGGGGGAAGAAGGAGGGAAGGGGAAAGAGGGAGGCATGAGGGAGAGGTGGGTGGATTATAGAGATAGATAGATAGATAGATAGATAGATAGATAGATAGATAGATAGATAGATAGATAGATAGATAGATAGATGTGTATGGAAGGAGGGAGGGAGGGATCCACGAGAGGTGGATAGATAGATGACAGGTAGATAAAATAGATGTAGATGGAGGGATGGAAGGAAGGAGGGAGGAGGGAGGGATACATGAGAGAGGTGGATGGATGGATGATAGAGATATAAATGAGTTGGATAGATAGATGATAGGTAGATAAGAGAGGATAGAGTTAGTTAGATGGAAGGAAGGAAGGAAAGAAGGAGGGAGCCATGAGAGAGAAAGAGGTGGGTGGATGGATTATAGTGGTAGAAAGAGGCATGAATGGAAGGATGGAGGGAGGGATGCACGAGAGAGGGAGAGAGATGGGTGGATGGATGGATGGAGACAGAGATAGAGACAGAGACAATTCTACAGGTCAAGAAACTATATCAAGGTGCCCACATTAGTCTTGAAAGTATCTTGACAATGCCCTGGGCTTATGTGATTTCCTTCCTCTTCTGAGCGAGGCTCATCCTTGACTTATTTATTTGTTTTCTTTCTGTAAGAAAGTCGATTACTCTTCAAGCAAACAAGTGGGATGTTTAGTTTATAACTCATTTGTTTGCGGGTGCGAAGTAAAATGGAAACACGTAACTAACTAGATGTTTGCCGCTTAGTCAGCTCACAGGGCCTATTTTTAGGGGTACAAAAATGGCATTGGAACTGCCCTCATGGTGTTTTAATAAGCAAGTTTCCACCTCAATCCGTCTTCCCTCTCCTTGCAATGAAAGCCTCGCTCTTAGCTCGGTGAAAGAGGCCACATGTTTGGCCTCCTATGAACGTGTTTTGTTTGGAAAGTTTGGCTTCCTCCCCCTCCTTTCTCCCGTTGTGTGTTTTCTCCCCCTGCTTTAAAAGAAAGTTCTCCTTGACTGTAGTAGTTCTCTCACATCTGCCCTTTAATAGCAACCTTTCATCTGCTGGGTGAGAAGAAACCCTATGACGATAGAGGAAGTCGGGGATAATTCATAACAAGCATCCTGGGCCTCTACATGGAAAGTGGAGGAGGGAGAGGAGGAGGAGGTGGGGGGAAGAAGAAGAAGAAGAAGAAGAGGAGGAAGAGGAGGAGGAGGAAGTGGTTGAGGAGGAGGAGGAGAAGGAGAAAAGAAGAAGAGGAGGAAGAGGAGGAGGAGAAAAGAAGAAGAGAAGGACAAGGAAGAGGAAGAAGAAGAGGGACGAGGAAAAGGAGGAAAAGGTGGTGATTGAGAAGGAGGAGGAAAAGGAGAAAAGAGGAGGAAGAAGAAGAGAAAGGAGGAGAAGGAGAAAGAGGATTAAACTGATTATAGAAACATCTTCCCCACTCTGCTATACTTGGAGAGCTCTAAATAACCTGTCCAAGAAGAGTGATGTCAACAGGACATAAATGTTTCTCTGGGCTTCCCAGTTCTGCCTTGTCTTCCCCTGCTTTGTATCCATAACACTCACTCAAGCATAAATTGTCCAGCTTGGCTGCCTTCTCTCCTTGTGAGCTCTTCTGGGACAGCGTTGAAACACCCAGAAGTCGGACTTCAGGACCCCCACAGCTGGATGAAAGGAGGGGGGGTGTGAACCTTAGAAAAGGGGCAAGGCCTCCTTTGAGCCAGCAACTCTAGACAAACAACATCTCCACTTTGCTGTGAAGTCAGCATTAATACCTACAAAAACTCACCAGTATTCACTTCGCGAGGATAAAATAATCTTAGCCCTCTGCGGTACTTCGGAAAGCCGTTTCTCTCGCGTCTATGAAATCCCTGGAACCTCCACTATTTTGGGTTTTAAAGTACACATATGTGATTTATGATGTTTATACGAAGCTCGCCTCACGCTTCTTACGTCAACTTCTCCGGATCCATATTCCCGATTTGTCATCAACGTTCTCACAACATCTTGTCCCTTTAGGAGTTTGCAAATAACACCAATGCTGTTCTGAAACTCAGGAGGGGCCCTTGGGGCTCTCTGAACTTGGCTGCTTTCTTGCAGACGTTTCATTACCCAACTAGGGAACATTATCAGTGCCAGAAGGGAGTGAGTGCTTGTGGAGAACACAGTAACAGAGTTGAATGGGACCTTGTAGGTCATCTAGTTAACCCCCTCCCCACCCAAGCAGGAGACACTACACCATTTCTGACAGGTGGCAGACCAGTCTCTTCTTGAAAGCTTCCAGCAATGACACAACTTCTGAAGGCAACTTCTGTTCCATGGGTGGATTGTTCTCACTGTCCGAAAATTTATTCTTGTTTCCAGGATGAATCTCTCCTTGTTCAGTGTCCATCCATTATTCCTTGTTTGGCCTTCAATGGTGCCTTGACCCCTTCCTCTCTGGGACAGTCCCTCAAATATTGGAAGACAGCTCTCCTGTCTCCCCTGGTCCTTCTCTTCACTAGACTAGCCAGGTCCAGTTCCTGCAACCGTTTATTGTATGTTTTAGTCTCCAGTCCCCTCATCATCCTGGTTGCTCTTCTCTGCTCTCTTTCTAGAGTCTCAACATATTTTTTATAGTGTGGTGATCAAAACTGGAGGAGGAGGAGGAGGAGGAGGAGGAGGAGGAGGAGGAGGAGGAGGAGGAGGAGGACTGTGAGATCCTTAGTGCTCTCTGAGTGTGTTTGTTTTCTCGCAGACGTTGCACTGGAATTCTAGTCTGCTTTGAAAGAACCCCTAAAAAATAGGGGAAAACACCGGATGGTTTTTCTGCACAACTCTGAGAAATGTGTCTATAACTAAACTGCAGCTTTGGAGTCTTGACATGATGTACGATTGACTTACCCTCACTGTTGGGCGTCATCATTTCCTTTGCTCCAGTAGCTTTTCAAGGCCAGTGGGGGTGATAAGGTTAGGACTCCCAAAGCCCACTTAGGAGAATGGGCAAACTGAGGTTTAGTGACCCCCCCCACCCCCTGCAAAGAAACGTTGGCAAACCAACAGTTTAGGCGAACTGTCTCTCTCGTCTAAAATAAGGAGGCCCACCTATGATCTTAACTGTATCAGTTTTGCCTCTGATGAAAGAAACAGGGTTCTATGTGTATGGGATACTTGGCTTAGAAAGTCCGAGCCAAAAATATAAGTATGGGAAAAGCTCTAAGAATAACAACCACCTGATGAAGACAGAGGAGTTTTTCTACCCTACCCTCTTTTGAACTTTTGAAGCCTTTCGCACTAAGGCGTCTCAAATGTCTTCCCTTGGGATCCTTCCCTGCCTGGCCTTACCCTCCCAGCCTCGGGCAAGTTGTTCAGAAGTCTGAGCTAAAACAAACACCGTCCCTCAGCTCTTTCAACCTTTCCCTTCGGTTCAGCTAACACACCGCCCCCTCAATCCAATTCTTTCCAAAAGAACAGAACAGCGGGACAGAATTGGAAGGGACCTTGGAGGTCTTCTAGTCCCACCTCCTGCCTAGGCAGGAAGCCCTACATCACTTCAGAGAAATGGTTATCCAACATCTTCTTAAAAACTTCCAGTGTCGGAGCATTCACAACTTCTGGTGGCAAGTAGTTCCACTGTTCTCACTGTCAGGAAATTTCTCCTTAGTTCTAGGTTGCTTCTCTCCTGGGTTAGTTTCCATCTGTTGCTTCTTGTCCTGCCCTCAGGTGCTTTGGAGACTAAGTTGACCCTCCCTTCTCTGTGACAGCCCCTCAAATATTGAAGCATTGCTATCAAGCCACCCCTAGAATAGCACAGCACAGCACAGCGTCTTGGAGGTCATCTAGTCCACGGGTCGCCAACCTTTTGGACCTCAGGGACCACCAAACTCATAATTTTAAATCCCGGGGACCACTAACCAGTAATGTGTACGTGTCCTAATTTGTGGGTGTGGCTTGGTGATCATGTAATTGGCTGGGCATGTAAATATTATAAATATTTATATAAATGTTGAATTTTTTTATTTATTTTTTTAAAAAGAGCAACTTTTACCCAAAATCAGGGAAAGCAGGCAGGCAGATTGAGTTGCTCACAGAATCACCGATTCATTCAGATATCTATCTATCTGCCATCAGCTGCCTGAGTCTGTCACATAAAATTTGCTGGCAAGGAAGCTCATAAAATTAACTCCACAACACACCATGTATGTAAATATTGAATTTTTTTATATTAAAAAAAGAGCAACTTTTACCCAAAATCAGGCAAAGCAGGCAGGCAGATTGAGCTGCTCACAAAATCATTCAGTGATCTATCTATCTGCCATCGGCCAGCTCAGTCTGTCACATAAAATTTGCTTCCCGGGAGTCTGCACTGAATGATAGAAACTTCAGTCCTAAAGGAGGTTGGGCGGTGCTTAAAAGCAGAGCCAAAGATCTAAAGACTAGCTAGTCCAACCCCCTGTTCAAGCATATTAGAGAAATGGTTGTCCACTCTCTTCTTGAAAACCTCCAGTGATGGAGCGGCCACAACTTCTGGAGGCAAGTCGTTCCGCTGGTTAATTGTTCTCACCATCAGGAAATATCTTCTTAGTTCTAGGTCTGCTCGATTGGTTTCCTTGCCTTGCTTCGGGTGCTTAAAAAACAGGTTGACCCCCTCTTCTTATTAATATTGGAAGACTGCCATCATATCATAAACACACACACGCACACACACACACATCCAGCAGACCTTTCTTTTCTCACTAGAGTAGACACACCCCATTCCTGCCACCGTCCTTCTCCCTTGTATGTGTTTGACGTCAACTGTTGCTCAATAACGTATCAACAAATGCAACGGCAGCAGGAGAGAGCAATGGAAGCTTAACGGCGTGTGATTGTGTAAACCCTATTAAGGCCTGTGGTACGAATTCACTCTGAGGAAGAGGACGAAGGCTGATGGATGGGTTGCAGGAATAACTTCATTTCTGAAAGGTCGAGGCAAGACGTAATTGTTCCTGCGTATCCTCAGTATCTGATTAAAGCCAAGGCCAGAGTTTACTGTAAGAAAGAAAATGACATTAAACATGATCCGATTAGCCTACACAACCCCTTTCTGGCCAGATTCCCAAAGGATTCGGACACATCGTTTGGAATTTCATCATCGTGCGCTTTATGTGAGTTTGTGTCATTCCTTGCTTTGGCAGAAGGTTCTTCTTTCAGACCGAAATTCATCAGGTCAATCCCCTACTCCACCAAGACAGTGTAAGGGTGGCAGAGGTGGCATTCAGCAGATTCGGACCAGTTCTGGAGAACCGGTAGCGGAAATTTTGGGTAGTTCGGAGAACCGGCAAATGCAACCTTTGACTGGTCCCACCCCATCTATTCTCTGCCTTCCACTGAGTCCCAGCTGATTGGCTGGGTCTCCTTTGGTTGCCCTGCACAGGAGAAGGGAGCTGGAAAGTAGGTTAGTCAGGTGGGGAGGGAATGGGGATTTTTAGAGTATCCTTCCCCTACCACACCCACCAGGCAACACCCACAGAACCGGTAGTAAAAACATTTGAATCACAACCACTGGCTGGAGCTCTTTTGATTTTGAGTTTGTTTTTTTAATCTCCTTTCCATAGCCAGAGGTCAGGTTCCTTACATAAAACACAGATCTCCTCCCTTGTTCTCAAAATTGACACCACTACAGTTTTGGTTTCTGGGAAGTCCAGATGTACTTTGATAGAAAAGAAATCATTGTGAAAATCCCTCTAAATATTGCTTCATTTATGTTCGCAAAGAGGGAGCAACCCTGTTCCACGAGGAAGGCTCGGTAACACGAATTAAAATTCAATGCAAAGATTAGAAAACGACAATGAAAGACGATCAAAGTATTAGAAATAATATGAGTATAATGATAGTTAAAATATTTATACATATAGAAACTCCGGTTAGAACTATAGGAATAAGAATGGTATTGTATAAAGAAAAGATAAATGGTTGAGCATAGGAGGTATAATAGAATGCGTAATGTATAATGTTGATACAGTGTATTACAGTTGTAAAATTGAAGCTGTAATACAAAATGAAGAAAATGTATAATAAAATTTGCTAGTGATTGGGATGAAACCGAGTACTAGTGCCTACATCAGTAGATACTTCATGAGTTTAATTTATTCTTTTTCTACTCTTGTCTCCATTATATTTTTGGTCAATCTACGGAGATTCTCCGTCATCCAAATCATGGTTGTCCCAAAGGTGTTTTTTAAAGAGGCAACTGGACCTTCTGAATTTTCTTTTTCAAAGAAGATACAGCACTCAGAGACAAACTGAGCAACGTGGTTATTTGCAACACAGTGCAGATCTGTACATTGGGAAAACAAAACACTTCACAAACCCATGACACAAAATAGGAGAACCAACCCATCAGGATTCAGCAGTCCATCTGCATTGAAAAGACAAAGGCTACTTGTTTGAAGACAACAAAGTCCACATTTTGGACAGAGAGGACCGCTGGTTTGAAAGATGGGTCAAAGAGGCTCTAATGCCGGGGGCATGACACAAAAATAACGAAGTCACAAAAGTAGAATAAATTCCCTTTAATGCCTCCAACTTGGCCCCCAATGTCCAATTATCCTCAGTTGGATATCAAACTCTTTAACAAAAACAGTCTATGAAGAGCAGAAATGCAGTCCGAACCCAAAGTAAAGATAATTAGAAATAAAAAAAAAACCAACACAAACCACACTGAAGTAATTAACACAGCAGGCCAGGATGATAAATTGCAGACTTTCAACAGATAACGCAGCACAGTTAGGAGGATGCCAAAACCCAGATAAGCCTCAACAAAGACAATGCACACTTTGCTTCCAGCAAGGAGCTGTGTGCAAAACGCCCCACTGTTTTCCCAGCTGCAGCTAATGAAGGGAATCAGGGCCTTTTTCTCCCCCGTAACCCATGTTGCTCCCTTCTCTGTTCCTCCCTGCATGCCCTAGGATGCAGATGGGGTGGGCCTGGGCCTTCCTCTGAAGGACCAGCTGGACTATGCTCTTCCCCTGTTTCTTCCACAGCCACTGGAGCCACATTCCCACTCCCTGTCAGCTACTCGACCTTCCCCTCGGAATTAGACTCCAACAAGAGCACGACAGAGGCCATCTATGTCAAAACTGAACAGCCCTCTATCAACAGAGAGGGAGGGATATGATCTCATCTATCTCCAGTCTGCCACGCAGTCCTTTCAGCACTTCCAAGAAGGCTCCGCACTCATTTTCTCTATTCTGGTGACCCTGAATGATGGTTTCTACCCTGTGTCCCTTCACCGTTGAAGACAGGCGCAGGCTGTTGCGGATGAAGGACACAAGGGCAGAAAGCATCCTTATGAGCCGCAGTGGCGCAGTGTTTAGAGTGCAGTACCGCAGGCTACTTCTGCTGATTGCCAGCTGCCTGCAATTTGGCAGTTCGAATCTCACCAGGCTGAAGGTTGACTCAGCCTTCCGTCCTTCCGAGGTGGGTCAAATGAGGACCCAGATTGTTGGGGGCAATTTGCTGACTCTGTCATCTGCCTAGAGAGGGCCGTAAAGCACTGTGAAGCAGTATATATGTCTAAGTGCTATTGCTATCGATGTCCTGCAGCTAAGAAGGCTCCACACCCACAGCTGTCCCTGAGGACATAGATAAACCTCCAAGTGGCCTCAGTGACTCTCTAAAAGGATGCAAATGACCAGCTGTCTGCAAGGAGTATAAATCCTTCCATTCCTCACCATCCAATTAAGAGCTGAAGAAGCTTCTTGGATGAGAAGCAAAACCTCTTCAAAGAAAAAGAAGAAAGTCCAGTTGACCTTGGATGGCGGAGAATCTCCATAGACATCCCACAACATCTTTCTTCCTGTACAACTAACCGGTTTTTGTCCTTGCTCCAAACCATTCGTCTGTTTTTTTCCTCCCTAGGCATTCAAGGGTGCCCTCATGAGTTCTTATTGGTGTTCGGGGAAAGGAGATGTGATTGAGGATTGGTGCCGATGTGACCTTAACGCCTTTGATGAGAATGGCCTCCCCAGCTGCAGCGCACTCCCGCAGCCTGTGTGAGTATCTCTTTTCCAACAGGGCCTGCATTTTTTTTTTTAATCCAGCCAAAATATCCCCTGTCCTATTTTTCTTTTTTTGCCTCAGTCTTTAATGTCAATCGAGAAGAATAATTGTAGGTCAGAGTTGAACGGTGGGGTCCTCGGTGCTCTCTGAGCTTGGTTGTTTTCTTGAAGACATTTTATTACCAAGCTAGGTAGCATCATCAGTGCTAGGAGGAGCTCTATAGAAACAGAGAGTAAACTCCACTCTCTTCTAGCACCAAGAAGGAGCAAACCAACAAGGGGATGGGAAGCAAAGACGACTGTATTTCTTATAGCAAGATGGGTTGTAGAGATGCCTGTTTGTGGGGATGTGTCGAATCAAACCTTTCTCTGCCCTGGTTGTATCCCCAATGCCACAAAGGAGAACTTGTGTTCAATATCAGACCAATCTTTCTGAGAATGAAGGGATGCTGTGTGGTGCCTCACCGCAAACTTTCCCACCAATCTCTGTCTATTTCCAGCACCACGGAAAAGTCGATTTTCAATCCGACCCTCCTTTTTAAAAAATTCCTTATTCTTTCTAGGTTGCGTCTTTCTCCCAACGTGGAGCCCTCGAGCACCGTGGTCTCCTTGGAGTGGTATGATGTCCAACCCGCCATTGGGACCAAAGTCTCTGATTACATCTTGCATCACAAAAAGGTGGATGAATACACAGACACCGACCTGTATACAGGTGAGTAGACGCTGGCATCCGTTTATGGAACGCCTTACCTGTGAAGGCTCCCTACGTCCCATGGCTTTGGTGGGCGTGACAGGGGAAGGATACTGCAAAATCCCCACCCCACTAACCTGCTTTTCAGCTCTGTTCTCCTGTGCGGGGCAACTAAAGAAGACCCAGCCGATCAGCTGGGACTCAATGAGAGGTGGAGAATAGATGGGGGCAGAGCCAGTCGGAGGTGGCATTTGCCAGTTCCCTGAACTACTCAAACTTTTTGCTACCGGTTCTGAAGAACCGGTCAGAACCTGCTGAATACCCACTTCTGGATCTGCTCCTTTGTAAAGTGTCCCCTAAGAACAGTGTGCAGCTGAGAGAAGTGTGTCAGGCAATTCCCTCTCATCCGTCCCCCCGCCCCCAAAATTGCAGAACGAGTTGCACGTGGGAGCCTCCTGTGCAAGCCAGAATATTAGATCATGGCAGGAATGGTCTCTGCCTTTGGAAGTCTGCGATGCGCAGTTGTTGGGTTTTGTTTTGTTTTGTTTTTGTTTAATGGGGTGATGAACAAACCGACGTGCCTTGGAGGCATCTGGAACTAATATTATTCGGCTGGGAAAATGTTCTTCTTGTCACCCTTCTGCTACTCTGATGGAAGAGTGAGGATGCTCGGGAGGAGGAAGAGGGACAGAGAAAAACATATGTTCCACGTTTTAAGGCGCAGGGATGAATAACAGCACGTAACAAAATGGGGGATTTGTAATGTTATAGTAGCAGGTGGAGGAGGAGGAGGCATCCTTCTAGGCATCTAAAAAGCCACATCTTCTAGGAAAACGGATACGTCAAGAAGAAAAAGGGCAAAAACTGGGTTGCTTTCCTGTGTGCCTGGAATAAATGCTCTTTTTTTAAAAAAAGATATGTTTTTATTAAGTTTCCGTTATTACAACATAATACATCATGGTTTCAACAGCATTCCTGACATCTATACTGGTTCTTATCATAAATATATACATCATATTTACATTTACAAATATACATTATATTTACATTTATCTAATCTTGATTAATAGCTTTAACTATAATTATTGTTCTTAAATATATTCTTATATATTTTACATATTTACATTTTACTTTCTTGAAGTCTCTTGCAGTTAAATTTCTTATTTCTTGTTTCTGTTTGTTACCCAATCATACCATTCAAATAAGTGGTCTTATTTTCATCGCACCGGCCATATTGCACCAAATGACTGAAATAGAAGGGAAAAAATACCGTATAGGATCGATACGGTATAGGATCTCCTGCTTCAGCAGGGGTTGGACTAGAGGACCTTCAAGGTCACTTCCAGCTCTATTCTGATTGATTGAAAACATTGGGAGTTTTTTCCACATAGAACAGAATAGAATACTTTATTGGCCAAGTGTGATTGGAAACACAAGGAATTTGTCTTGGTGTAAATACTCTCAGTATACATAAAGAAAAGGTACATTCATTCACACTATTCAAATGGGAAAAAAGTTGCTTTCGGGGACATAATTTGCGCTTCCCTGTTTAATATGCAAGAAAGCACTTCCATGTCAAGAAAAGGAAGATGGTTAGAATTGCCCAGAGACCTGATTTTGCAACCTCCGATGAGCCTAACATGATATGATGGGCATTAATATGGTCAGGTCCTATAAATAGTCGTGCAGCATCAGGAAGATTTTGAACAAGCAGCTGTTTAGTTGTTCTGGTGTGCAGTGCCAGATTTTGAACAAGCAGCTGTCTCAAGGAAGAAACCTATCCTATTTGCTAACAGTTATAATTGGATTTTTGTCCTTAACAGAATAACAAAGTTGGAAGGGATCGTATAGGTCATCTAGTCCAACTCCCCAATCCTACACCAGTCCAATCTCTTCTTGGAAGCTTCCAGGGATGAAGCTCCCACAACTTCTAAAGGAAACTTCTGTTCCATTGGTTGACCGTCCTTGCTGTCAGAAATCTTCTCCTTATTTCCAGGTTGAATTTCTCCTTGATCATTATTCCTTGTCTGGCCTTCAGGTGCTTTGGAAAACAGCCTGACCCCCTCCTCTCTTGGGCAACCCTTCAAATATTGGAAGATTGCTAACATGTCTCCCCTGGTCCTTCTCTTCCCTAGACTAGCCAGGCCCAGTTCCTGCAACCGTTCATCGTATGTTTTAGCCTCCAGTCCCCTCATCATCCTGGTTGCTCTTCTCTGCACTCTTTCTAGACTCACAATATCTTTTTTTTAGTGTGGTGCAGTGGTTGGATTCAAGCCAGTTCACGCCAGTTGGGGTGAACTGGTTGTTAACTTTCTGAGCAGTTTGCTGAATTGGTTGTTGGAAGAAAGCATTAGGGCAGAGAACTGGTTGTTCAATTATTTGAATCCCACCATTAGTGTGGTGTCCTTGTTGCAGTGAACTCAATAACCACCATTAAAACGGCTTTTTTTTCCATGAGATTCCTTTGTCCTCCAATTCACCTCTCTATCCAGGTGTCCCCCAAAACTTCAAGGCGGTTCCTAAAATCAGCCACTCTGCTCTGCTCTATATACCTTGGTGCCTTCATCCCAGAAAGAAGCCTTCGGAGCTGCCAAAGAAAAGCTGGAACCATCCATTTAAAGTGTTTCATTGCTTTTCTCAATTTTTCCCCCCTCAGAGAAAGATGGCCAAGAAATGATAGGGTGGTGGTTTGACTAGCTTTGCTTCACATGAATGAAACTCAACTCAAATTTGGCGGAAAATGAACTCGAGTTAAGATGCTCTGTTTACTACGCTTTACGCCTCTGGGACGAAAAAGTTTTGTCACTATCAATTGGTCGTAACAGAATAACAGAGCTGGAAGGGGCTTGGACGGTCTTCTAGTCCAACCCGTTGATTCAGCAGGGAACCCTTAAGACCATTTCAGACAAGTGGTTGTTCTATCGCTTCCTATAAACCTCCAGTTGTAAGAGAAGAGAATATTTGAAGAGCAGGGTTGACACGAGGGTTCTTTGATGTTCTTTGAGCTTGCTCGTTTTCTTGCAGACATTTCATTACCCCAACCCATGCTAGCACTGATGGTGTTACCTAGTTGGGTAATGAAACGTCTGCAAGAAAACAAGCAAGCTCAGAGAGCACCAAGGACCCCTCAAAACCTCCAGTGTAGGTGTATCCACTAGTAGAAGATAAAGTAATAGTGTTGGAAGAGACCTTGGAGGTCTGAGTTTCTGTCTCAGGATTTTTTTTTTCATTTCTCTTTTAGTGGAAATATTTTATCCTACCTTTTTTACATCTTCCTTAAAATATTTCATTCTTCTGGAGGAGGGGATGGCTTCCCATAATAGGCCGATTGATAGATTGGTAGGTAGATTGGTTGGTGGTAGGTTGGTTGGTTGGTAGGTAGATTGGTTTCTTCTGGCATGCCACAATTGATTGCTACAACTTCAAGGTCTGTTGGTTGGTAGATAGGTAGGTAGGTTGGTTGCTTGGTTTCTTCTGACGTACCACAGCTGATTACCACATCTTCAAGGTCTGTTGGTTGGTAGATAGGTAGGTAGGTTGGTTGCTTGGTTTCTTCTGACGTACCACAGCTGATTACCACCTCTTCAAGGTCCCTGGCTTGCTTTCAATGTGTTCCATAATATCAAGTCTTCTGCCTCGGTTCCTTGTCTACGCCCTAGACAGTCTTGTAACTTTTGTCAGCCCTCCACCTCCTTCCATCTCACAAGGTGGCATCATCAATCATTTTCAGAGGGAGGAAGGGAGAGTTGTGTTCCTTTTAAGGACATGTTTTTCTCTTCTTCCACTCCAAAAAAATGAAAATAAAATAAACCAGCCAGATTTCCCCCAAGGGGTTCCTGTAAAGGAGAAGCAAAATATTTAGGTGTCGAGGAACAGTTTCCTATTGAGGAAAAATGAATGTTTGGAGGTTTCGGCTTAGCAAGGAGGCAAGTAATGGGCAACTGAGAGAACTGGGTGGTCATCCCTGAAAACGAGGATTTGGAGAGAGGAGAAGGAGCTCCTTTTGACACGGAGCAGGCAATTCCCCATCAAGTAGACACACCAAGGGTCCTCAATTTACATTGTTTTAAAAGAAGATTTAAGGAACACACACACACACACACACACACACACACACACACACACACGGTGATATCTAATTCTGGCAGCTGTTTATTTCCCCCTGCATCCTTATAGACTCCAGCTGTTGTAGAGTTCCTACCAGTGAGGGCCTTGGCTATATTTTCTTGGTCCTGATGACGGGAGGCAAAAGAATGGCCTTGGGACGATCCCGGAGTTCCCTTTCTTTTTTTATTCGGTGAGGTGGGGGCTTCTCTGGAGTGTGACAATTTTATTAGGGTTGAATTATATTCTAGCACAATACTTCTATTGAGTCACCTGGCATATCAATGTGTAGAGGAGGAGGAAGGGGGAGGAAGAGGAGGAGAAGGAGGCCCTTTGATAAAACTCGATTTGATCCTAAACTACCAGCATCATCCTCTTCTCCTCATCGCTTCCTCCACCCTTTCCTCTTCCTCCTTTTTCTCTTCCTTCTCTGCTTCTCATCTGTCTCCTCTTTTTTCTCCTTCTTTTTCTTCTTCTCATCAGTCTCCTCCCCTTTCTCCTCCTCCTTTATCTCTTTCTCCTCCTCCTCCTCCTCATTCTCATCTATCTCTTCTTCCTCTCTTTCCTCCTCCTTTTCCTCGTTCTCCAACTCTTTTTTCTCTTTCTCCTTCTTCTTCTCATCAATCTCCTCCTCTTTCTCCTCCTCCTTTATCTCTTTCTCCTCCTCCTCCTCATTCTCATCTATCTCTTCTTCCTCTCTTTCCTCCTCCTTTTCCTCGTTCTCCAACTCTTTTTTCTCTTTCTCCTTCTGCTTCTCATCTGTCTCCTCCTCTTTCTCCTCCTCCTTTATCTCTTTCTCCTCCTCCTCCTCCTTCTCATCTATCTCTTCTTCCTCTCTTTCCTCCTCCTTTTCCTCATTCTCCAACTCTTTTTTCTCTTTTTCCTTCTGCTTCTCATCTGTCTCCTCCTCCTTCTCATTCTCCTTGTCAGATCCGTGTATCTGTCATTTCTTCGGTGGAAGAAGAA